TGCTTGTAGACTTGAGTCTTAGTTTTTCTTCAATTTCTTTTCCAATCTTCTGAACAGTTACCTGAGTCTGTTTAATTGCACACTGGGCTCTATGAAGCCTAGAAATACAAGTTGTAGAAAAATTTAAATAAGTTAATTATAAACTCTAAACACAGAGCCACAGATATGAATGATAAACCTTCTAAGAGAGATAAAATTACTAATGAACCCAAAACAATCATTTCTCAGTTCAAATTTACAATGAAATATCAGGGGCTAGAGTAAATCCTAAAACAGTAACATTCTTAAACACCCTTTCTATACCTACCTGCCTGCCTCCTTCTGATATATGGACAGCTAGAATGAAGGACTTAAAAGAGTCTGGAAGAGCCCTTGGAAAATAATCTGGTCAAATGTTATTCTACAGATGTAGAAAATAAACAGTAGAAAAATTAAATGGATTGCCAGTCACAAACAAAGTACTTGTTATCAAGGCTGATAATTATATGTAGATATTAATAAAGAAAAACTTCACAATCATTCCAGTTAAGAAGCTTGACTCAAAGCAGTTAGAACTCTGAAAATGATTTTTTTAAAATGACATAAAAGACAAAGTAACAGCATTGAGACACTGGACAAGGGTCCATAAACAGTAATTATATTCTTAGTGTGGACTCTTCAAGGAATATTGAAAAAATAAAAAACTACTTTTCTTTTTTACTTCAGCTATGATCTTGTGCTTTTTTGTCTTTAAATATAACTCATATAAAATTTCGATACCAAAATACAAACTGTCTATATTCATTGATGATATGATGGTCATGTGGAAAACTTTAAGAAATCTATTAAACAACCATGTACCAGAACTAATAAGTGAATTTTTTTCATAAGCCATTTAGTTCAATTAAATAGGCCATAATATTTTGTAATAATATTTTGCTATACTACTTTTTTTTTCTTAAATTCTTTTATTGGTACATTTTAGGTATACTATACATTTACATTTATCATTGGGTGCTTGTACCTGTACATGATGTATCTTG